AAGTGGAACGACAGTGGAGAAAAAACGAAAAAAACCGTCGACAAGGCCGAAAACGAAACCCTCTTTCCCACTAGCAGTGAAGGAGGCTGGCTTGGGGAGAGCACGTCCAAACGAGTTTTCCGGATATGCCAGCCGTTCCATCGCATGCAATACGGAAGTTATTCCGAGCATGCTAGCCGTTTCATCGGTGATATGAGCTAGTCAGGTCTTATGCTGATTTTCAACACGTTGTTGCACAGCACCACTTACGGACGGTGGGGGGTGGGGCCGTACAGCTGATGCCAGTGTGAGCTGCTCGCAGCAAGATGGTCGGCGAGGGCCTTGTCGGGCGCTTTCCATTTCGATCAGCGCAGCGTGCGTTCACCCTTGTGAGTGCAGTCCAGGCCATATTAGTGATGGAAAGACTTTCTATGAGCACCTTATCTTGACTTGTGGCTTTAATCCAGACTCGTGACTTCCAAGCTAAATTCTAGCCTGGGGGACGGGCGGGTTGTAGACATTTTCTCCAACTCCGGACAAAAATACTGAACGGTAGAGGTTGGTAGTCCACTTTCTATGGTATTTGAAGCAACTCGCTCAAATTATTACGAAAAATAGTGTAGTATTTCATAGCGGCCAAGCATTGAAGTGGATGAAATTCATTTGAATGCCAACTTTAGAACTATGGCGTATGACTGAACGAAAGTTACAGTGGCGCTGACCATGAACGAAAAAATCTCGGTGATCAGGTGCCGCGGCCCCGAATCTTCCGAATGGCTCGTGTAGCTTAAGGACGCTGGCGAGCGCTTGGTGCACGGAGGGAGAATGGTTTCATGTCAGCTTCACGATAGTATCAAGCCTAGATATCGTCGAATCTCACTCAACTCAACCTGATACTTCATCGTCTGGGGGCACACGATAGCACAATGTGGCTGCTATAGCCCAAATATGAGAGTGCAGAGGCTATGCTATATGATATTGAGTGAAAAAGCCGAAGAAACTGTCGAGTGATGACATTGCACGATCCAAGAAAGAGAAAGTATGGGGACAAGGGAGACACAGACAGCACTGCGAAATTACCATTTTCAAGGTGTGCGCGGAATCGTAGGTTATGTAAGCCTCTGCCAGCCCCATCCCCCTCCCTGACCCACCCCTGGCTTGACATGGATCCTCCGAGGAAGACATCGCTAGTACAGTGCTGGAAATGAGCTGTGGGTACATCGATCGTAGTTTTGCTATTACCCTCCTCTGAAATACTGGCATGTAACTACATATATTTGTCAGCCTTCGACCAGAGTTCTATGGTCTGAGATTCCCTCACATTTCATTACTACTATGTGGAAGGGGGCGGAAGTGGTGTAGTGGCAAGTGGCACGCTTACCACGCGAGCGGTCCGGGGATCAAATCCTGGGTCGTGAGTCGCCCGGGCCAACCAAGCCTTCCATCCCTCCGGGGTCGGTTAATTGGTACCAGACTTGTCTGGGAGGATAAAAACACTGACTTGTACATCGGCTGGCCCCGCAAGTCATTGTATAGGCCACATCGCATTCAAACGCCACTACGAATGTACAAATGGAAGTAGAATGCGTGCCGCATCCCAAAAAGGGATTGATCAACGGCAAATGCTTTATCCTTTTCCTTTTATTCGTTAAAACCCACGGATTTTTCTAGTTTTCAGGTTTTCTCGTTTCTGGCTCCCTTTTCGGCCATATGCACAGGATCAACCGTGGCGTTTGACAATAGGCGGGGAGGGGGACACACACATACGCCCCCTCCCCTTCAGGGTGATTAAGGGTCGAATAGGGTTGAGAGTGAATGTATGCGCGGAGAGCGTGGCTGAACAGGCGAAAATCCTCGACGAGTCGTCGACGAATCCTCGACCAATTTTCACTCTGCCAACATTACAGCCCTGATCACAACCCTCACCATCGCGGCTGTTACTGAAGTTCTGAGGCCCGTCAACTCACCAAAATTGTACCCACTATCCCTCCGAAATGGCCGTCGAACGGGCGAGCCGGGGGGGGGGGGAGGGGGAAGGAGTGCGTGGGTTGATAATATGGCTCGTAAGCGGCAAATCCACAATTCAACAAAAATGGTCTCCCAATGATCTCAATTCTTCAGCCACTACACTAGCATTATAGAAAGCTCAGTTTGCGCTATCGATCACACATGGAACATTTTCTAAAGGCTACCTGAGGACACCACAGAAGGGCTTGGATAGTAATCACCTTCTGGGAAAGGATGCTCACCCTCACCTCTTTTTTCCCTTCACTGGCGTTCGATGCTACCACACAATCGCGAAGTATTTGTGGGGGCGGGGCATGTAACAGTTTCGTTTCGAGTGACCTCCATATAAAGTGAAAAACGTTCGGCGTTGCTATGTCGAACGGTCAGTAACTTTTACCGAACCCTAGTATGTAGGGATCTGTCTAATTCGATATATTACTTTTTATCCTCCCTTCCGTGAAGTAAATTAAATAGGAAGTCATGGCATACGCGTAAATTGACAGTAGCGGTAATATTATCAAGTAAAACACGCTTCACGCAATAGCATTTGATAATAGACTGCCAAAGTAGTTATCTGGTACGAGCACTTTTCACCTAATGACGTAGTCAATGATGCATAGAACTTCAATTTATTGCAGTTAGCAATCCATATAATACAGTGCGTTTCACTAATCATAAGGTCATCCTAAAATATTGCATTTCCAAAACCAGCAGCCAACTGGCATTTATTTCCCCACCAATCACCAAGATCTCCCCACCTATGAACAACCCCCGTATCAAACTTTGGTGGGAGCAGCTTTTCTTAAAACTTTTTTTTATAATTATTTTTCAAGATTTTCGCACCGTTTCATAATTATAAGGTCACCCTGAGAAAAGGATCAATCACCTGAGATCAAAGACGGATTAAAAGGACACAATCATCTATGGTTCCGCCTTTTTGGAGGCAACATCGAGTGGGTGTGGGTACTTAGGACAGAACGCGACTTTTTCGCTCTTCGCAACGCGACATCGCGCGGCAGGCTGGCGCACCCGCAGCGAAAACAACTACGGTATGGAAGAACGCGCGATTGGAGCAGCTTTTTTGCATGCGTGAATTTGTAAGTTTCTGATTCCTTACTTGCCCGCGCTCACACCCATTGTATTGATAAATGCGGTGAATCAATAATTCTAGCCTCACTATTAAAAACGTTTTG